TCGTCCTTCAGTCGGGGGACAGACGGCGCACTCTGGAGGTGGGGGTCAGTCACAGACACTCTGAGCTGCCCTGAGCTGTTCAGAGTTATTGTCCCTCACCCCTCCTCCCCCCATCCACCTCCTGCTGTTTCCCTTCACCCTTTTTGCTCTTATGGGGCAGAATGTGACTAGTAGTGATGTTCATGTGATTGTAACAGTTTTAAAAATCAATTTTACCCTTTGAATTACATACATTTTGTTCAGATTGAGCCCTGAAAGACTGCAGAAAAGTTGCGGATCAGAGTTTGTCACCGGATCCTCTGTGATCTTTCAGGGATCTGGGAATATGATTTGTGCATGAAGCTTGGCACAGTTGTAAAAAGAAAACCTATGTTAAAAGGTCCAAGCCCACGGGGAGGTGTGCGTTTCAGGCGACTGCCAACCCGAACACACGAACGCCGTGTTTCTATGTTATGCCTCTGAGCACAACTGAGCAACGCCCCCTCCCCTCCTACCCCTCCTGCCCCTCATTTCCAGCTTAGTGAAGCTCAATCTGCTCTGTCTGAGTCTGCTCAGTGTGTCAGCCAAAAACATGAAAAATGCGTCTCTCCTCTAATCTTTATATGTCCACATATTTATTTTCTGTTTCACTTTTTAAGAGGTCATTGAAATTGATGAGTTTCATGTTTGTTAATTAATAAAAACAATCCTAGTTATTTCATGTCACTCTCATCATTCACTCAAACATGTAAATGTTGATGGACTGTGAGGTCAGGTTGACCCTCAGCTTCAGGTCATGAAGCACACAGACAATGGCTTAGTTTTCCCTCTGGCAACAAATCTATATCAATTTGCTGCTTTCTGCGTTTTGGGCATCAATTTTGCTCTCGCTCCGTCTCTTTTGACAGCAGCATCAGAGCTCCAGCTCTTGTTCTCTCAAAAAAAGGGAATCAGGATGCTCTAAAGGAGAAGTGACGCTTGTATGAGCTTCCGGGCTTCGTTTCTCATTTCAGCACAAGTATCTGTGCAGGGTACAAATTTAGAAGTTTTGAAAACTATGAAACTATGAATGAAAATTCTCCAAAAGGCATTTTTGGTTTCTTTAGTTGTTTTTTTTTCTCCTTAAATAGAATCTGAGTGCTCAACTCTAGGTCTAGAGAATTGTGTATTGTTTATATCTATTTGCAAGAGCTATGTTTAATATTTTTTATCATTTGCAGCTTTGTAGTTTTATTTAGTCCAGTTTCTGAAGAGTCTTAAGACTCTGCAATTCTTAAACACAGACAGTACAAAAGCATCAACATGTGCAAAACTTTTACTCAAGTCTAGAAATTGTTTGATAAAGCAAGTTAATGGATTCAGTGTTAACATCTTTAAGTTGGAGGTTGTTGCATGCAGTGATTCCTCTGTCTGATATCCTGAAAGCACATTTATGAATCATCTGGACTCCAGTCTCAGATTCTACCTCATTGTTTCTAAAGATATTATCTTATTGACAATTCCTTCACAAAGTCAGACCTGGCTAGCTCTCTGCATTTAATTACATAATATTCAGTCACTGGTGCTTCAGCTGCTCTCTCCTAAACCGAAAGCTGGTCGCATGACACCACAGACAGGAAACTGCAACAACCAACACAGTCTTTCATTTGAGTGTCAGTGCTACGGTTGAAAAGAAAAAGATTTTTAAGTAAAATCAAGATTTTTTTAAGGTCAACAAAAATGTTCACAGCCTTGAATTTTTTCTTTTTCCAGGGTCAAATTACGACTGGGAGGATTGCTGAGTGTGTAAAATCACAGACGTGGCAACAGGAAGAATTGTTTTTCTTTTGAATCATTTCATGGCATGAGTGGATGTCATTGACAGCAATCAGACTGAGGATGGTCAGAGAGAGGAAGAGGGTAGACATGCAGAAAATGTCCCACGGTTGGGAATTGAACCCCAGGTGGTTGCCTTTGCACATGGGACGTCCCTGGAATAGAAAATTGATTTTGGTCAACGACCTCAATCATTTAAAAATACAGTAATCAGGAAAGGCTGATTGGATTGGATCAATACATTCCTACAATGTCTGCTGCCTAACTTTGTTTCAACCATCTGGATCCCACGCAAATTATTATAAAGTGAATCGTCTCTTGATCTGATAACCTTGTTTTGTTTGTGTTTGGGGGCTTTATACCTTTGCCCTGGAAATCTTGAGTCTGAAAAACATACAAACACACACAACAGAGGGCAGCAGGGAATTTGGGCTCACAGCCACCCCCTCCCCTTTGCTTTCCCTTTTTGACATAGCTGGCAAACAGGGAGCCTTAAATCATCCTAAACTGTTTTGCAGGATCTGAATCTGTTTCGTTCTCTAAACAACAGAAGTGATTAATACTGTGCTGGAGGTGTTTCTCAACCAGGTCCCGTTCAGCCTGTAATTATATTGTTTTCTGTGGCTTCTGGTTGAATCCAACCAACCAACATATAAGAGGGTAAAGTGACTGTGCAGAGTAAGCAGCTGGACTCTTCGAGTTCATGGTTTCCTGTGTCGTCTGCTGGACATACCTGAGTTTACTCTGTTCATGCCTTCGAGGGGTTATAAAGACATCTCTGCTGATCAGTGCCGGCAGCTCAAATGCTAAATTTGAAAGACTGTCTGCACACAACTAATAAAAGTAAACAAAATGGGATATTGTTGTCTTTGTGTCCTGGAAACCTAACTACTGCTACTTAGCACTTCAGAAATGTGCAGCCTTTGTAACGCTGATTGTTTCAGGCCAACAAATCTCTCCTTGATCAGCACAGACCCAAGACATGTAGTAATGACAACAGATCAACACTGTGTGACTAATGTTTCTATCATAACAGAGCGAGAGCAGCTTAAAATATGACTTAACGCCTCTTCTTTCCCCTTTTGAACTTTCAGATGGTTTGAGTTTTTTGATTTAAATTTTTCATCACTGCCTTTTAAACGTGTTTGCTCTCATGTCACGGTGACATTTGAGAAACCCTCCTCAAAGCCGTCTCATATCTGCATCGTCTGATTGAAGTAAATTATTTTCATAAGCTGTTACAGACTCGACTAACCACGTTTGTAGATATGGTTTGAAATAAACTTCCAGAGGTACGAAAAGGCCTGAAACTGTGTTGCAATCGGTCATAAACAACACAAGGTTATGAAATCTGGTGAAAGGAAGCAGACTCAATTATTCATCACAAAATATGCCAAACAGGATCACTGAAATAGAAAAGAGGAACAGCAGTCACAAGAGGATTCAAATTAGCACTAAAAATGTGTTGTTGTTTTTTTACAACATATTATTTTTTAACTTTAGATGTGTTACCAATTTCTTTTAGCAGTTTTGCAAAGGAAACTTTTATTCAGCTCAGGTTGGGGGTATTTTTACCAGCTTGGTGAAAGTTTACAGATTGTACTTTGCGGAGCAAAGGAGCAGCCACATTTATCACAACGTCTACCACAAACTGTAATCCAAAGCCAAACTCTGCACCGAGCTGAGTTGTTTGTCGTTAAGGTTCTGTGAGCAGAGAGCAGCCATATTGTCAGCCAGACTGTCTTATCTACCAAATCCTAGACAGAGGAAACTCCTGGTGTTGGTATCATGATCCCAGAAAACATTTTCTCGCTGCTTCCTCTGCTCCATCAAACACACAGCAGTGCTGGCACACAAGAGAGAGAGAGAGATAAATGAAGGTACTGTTGTGTTTTGGTGATGAATTTGCTAATTCATCACCAAGGTGACCAAGAAAGCAGCCATAGTTAATTTAGTGACTGCATGGTTTGATTCCTTTTTTTTTTTTAAATTGCCTCTCATAATCTCCTACTCCAGGACTTGGTTGTAAAAATCAGATCTCATTCAGTTATATTTATTTGAGAGCATATTTTTTAGCTAAAGCTCCACAGACACACATCTTTTAAAACACTTTTAAAAAACACGCAGCGTGAGTAAAAGCTTTTGCCATGAAAAATGTAAACTCAATTTTACAGCATGGATTAAGTAGAAGTTGCCAAGCTTTGCAGTAGAAACTCATAAAATGTCCTGGTCTTTGTTTGGAGCTGATATTTGTCCCTATAAAAAGGTTTTAGTTAAAGCCGTTGACCCTTGGTCATAGTTAGTCTGCAGTGGGTGAGACAGTGACATGGATGCGGTCGTTGACTCTTGCATAACGTGACGAGCTTAGCGGCTTTTTCATTTATTTATATTTTCTGCCACAGGTCATCGTGCTCAAAGAGAAGAAGCTGTACGAACCCATTGTGTCAAACAACAGCCCGATGATATCTGCTGACCTAAATCCTTCTGCCAGTAGCTTTCTATCCCAGATGAGGGCAGATGTTTTACAAGACAATGAAATTCCTGTTGTCCATACTGTAATCTAATTTCCACTCTTTTATTATTAGACGTTACGTCACATCAAATGTACTGAGAGCCTGTGTTCTCATCAGGGGTAGGTCATTTTAGAGCGCTGAGCACCAATTCGAGACTGGTGTTTGTTTTGTTTAAAATGACAGACATTTGCTTTATCTGGCACTTTAGTGGACTATACAAGCTTTATCTGCTAGATGGCAGGAAGAAATATATTTCAGTGCTCTGTGAGTAAGAGGGATAATTGTTATTTGAAGCAACTGCATTGATTTTTTTTTGTGGGGGGGGGGGTTCAAAAATCATAATGCAGCAGAAGCAGCATCCAGTTTCTATACACCACTAATCTGGAACAAACTTCCAGAAAACTGCAAAACCGCCGAAACACTGAGTTTCTTTAAGTCGAGGCTAAAACCCCATCTGTTCAGATTTGCCTTTGAGTAGAATTGATCATCATATTTGATGTGTACTTGCCTGATGACTTTGACAAAATGTAACATTTATTGCTTGTTTCAAACATGGTGGGAGTTCAATAGAGCTCCTTTTAGACCCCCAACAACAAAAGCAGCCAAAGTTTTGCTTTTCTCGTCAACGTTTTATCTGAATTTAGCTCTATGCAGGACGCGTCATTGACGGACTCCTTTTCCATCTCTCTGCAGGTCTCTGGATGGCCGCCTGCAGGTGTCCCACAGGAAGGGACTGCCTCACGTCATCTACTGCCGGCTGTGGCGCTGGCCCGACCTGCAGTCTCACCACGAGCTGCGAGCCGTGGAGCTGTGCGAATACGCCTTCCACACGAAGAAGGACGAGGTGTGCGTCAACCCATACCACTACCAGAGAGTAGAGACGCCAGGTATGACTGCTAATCTTAAAACAGACCTGTGTTACAAAACCGTGCTATGCATCCACTTTATTTTTAATTTTTCGTATATTCTTAATGCAACTCTTGCTACGTTCTGATCCGCATGTTTCTCCTTTTACGTCTCAGTCCTCCCGCCGGTGCTGGTGCCCAGACACACAGAAATCCCCAGCGAGTTCCCGCCACTGGACGACTACAGCCATTCAATCCCTGAAAACACCAATTTCCCTGCTGGCATTGAGCCCCAGAGCAACTACATACCAGGTATCAGCGAGCTTCCAAAGTTGACTCACACCAAAGGCGGGTTTATGGTCTGTCTACACAAGCTTGTAAGATTCAGTTTGAGACAATCTGAGGAATTTCTTGAGTAGCCGATTCCCGAAGAAGTCTTTTAGAACATTTTACGCACACGAGACATTAGTAGTGTTTCCACCATGAATTTTTAGCACATTTGAAAAGCTGTGATTACAACACCTTGATGAGATCTTTAATTTGAGACAGAAAAGTGCAAGGGAACCTTGGCGCAGGGAGAAACCTCCTTTAGTTTAATCTCTGTAAACATACTCAACAGGAAGTTGCTCGTTTAATTTTTAGAGGTTTAGTTAATTGAGATTAGCTCTGTTTGCTTCGGAGATTTTTCTTTTTTCCCCTCTGTCGTAATTCACTTAGATCTGTGCTGTTCATGATTGTCTGAGCGAAGAGGCAGAATGCATTAAGCTGTAGCTTCTTCACCTCATCTCTGTTGAACTGTAGCTGCAAAGTTAACATAACTGTTAATTAAAAACTTAAATCTATTTGTCTTGATTTTTAAAGAATGATTATCCAGAAAAAAAATGTTGCCTCCCCTGTTAACTTTTGAATGAAGTGCATTAATGCCTCTGCGTCCACACGTCAACCGTTTCTCCTGTGTCTCAGAAACGCCGCCGCCAGGCTACCTCAGTGAAGATGGAGAGACCAGCGATCACCAGATGACACACAGCATGGACACGAGCTCCCCAAACCTGTCACCTAACCCTGTTTCACCCACACACAGTAACCTCGGTGAGAACCGCCTGTCTGGGTGTGTGTGTGTGTGTGTTTGTGTTTCTTACCCCCCCTGCGGGAATTGTCTGTTTGGTTTTGGTAAGAGGAAATGAGGTGATGAAAGAGTCCTTTGTCTTTCACGCCCAAGCAGTTGCACAGACCAAGGCAGTGTTCGGTCCACAGTAAAGATACCCGATGTTTACTCTGTCGGGATGAGAAAACATCAGGGAGCCTGCCCTACTACTTGATTTGGAAGGACACATTGAAGCTTTCAGAGGCTGCTCCGCGTTGCAATTTTGCCAGAAATAGTTGACTTCACTGAAAACAATCAAGGATGAGCCTGTAATCTTACTTTTTTTTTGTCTCTGGCATCCCATCTGTGAGGGTTGAGTTTCCTCGCTTTGTTTGGACAAAGTTTCTGGGAAGCAGCGTATGACTCCGAGGTTTTTTTTCTTCTCCGTCTGCAGCCAGCTAGAGCCATTTTTCATTTCTCGGGATGGCCGCACATCCTTAAAAATTTTTAAACACATATATCTAAAATTAAGGCCTTAAAATGCAAGTTGGCCTGAAGTACATTAATCATAGGTCTTAAGTTTTGTTGTGGCTTTGTACTGTTTTTTCTTACGGAACTTTTCAATCAGGGAAAAGTTTGAGTTGCGTGCAGATCTCGTCAAACACCGTGTCTTGAGGTGGTTAAGGCCAACAATAACAAGCTACTAACGTTAGCTAGCTACCGTTTAGCGTCTGTCATGGGTGAATGTAATTTCATTGGCAGGTGGCTAAATGCTGGCCCAGTCCATACGAGAATACATGCATTCTGTGCAGAAAAGCTTAGTAAGGCTTTAAGGCTGTGGAAAAAAGTTGCTGCCAAGAGTCACAAAAAGACCCCAGGAATATCAGTTTTAGGCCCCTAAAAAAAAGCATTTCTTTTATACATTTATAGGTGTTTTATTTGTATAAAAGTTGGTGGCCTGTTTCATTCGTCCATCTTCTTCTCTATCTCTAAATTTATGTAGCCATCTTCCTGGCATTACTTTACATTAAATGAAAGCTACAGTGTTTACTAAGTGCTCTTCCTCTGCGTCTGTGTCAGACCTCCACCCTGTGACGTACTGTGAGCCGGCCTTCTGGTGCTCCATCTCGTACTACGAGCTGAACCAGCGGGTAGGAGAGACCTTCCACGCCTCGCAGCCCTCGCTGACGGTGGACGGATTCACAGACCCCTCCAACTCCGAACGTTTCTGCCTGGGACTGCTGTCCAACGTCAACCGCAATGCAGCAGTGGAGCTGACACGCCGACACATAGGTGGGCCTCATCGCTCCCCTCTAAATCAGTCCAACGTCTGCTGCCGCTGTTAATGTCGCCGTGACATCCGTCTCTGTTCCCTCTAAGGTCGCGGCGTGCGGCTGTACTACATCGGAGGAGAGGTGTTTGCAGAGTGTCTCAGCGACAGCGCTATCTTCGTCCAGAGCCCCAACTGCAATCAGCGTTACGGTTGGCACCCCGCCACGGTCTGCAAGATCCCCCCTGGTGTGTGACAACTCCACAGAGTCTGTGGAAAAACTAAAGAGTGAATGGAGTGTGTTGAAGAAAACCAGGAGGAGGTGGATGGAAAAATTCACTCGTCACAGATTAGATCACAGACGCTGCTGCCCAGGCAGCCACGAACCTTTCACAGGCGCTCTGCGCTTTTAATTGTTCCCAAAAACTCTGCAAAGGCCTGGAATTTGATTTAAGTGTTTTTCAGATCTATTTAACAGATGTTTGGGAAGAATTTTAGATATGGAAAATTCTTTTGTTTTCTGGACCTCGTTACTGGTCCATTGTTCTGAAATTCGGTCCGTTTGTGCCTGCAACTAATGATTATTCTGACGATTAATTGATTATCGGATAAGACAACTGGCACATTTTGCAGATTTTTCATTTAACCACTGAAACATTTTTATACAGTATTAAAACTGTAGTAATGATGCAATCAACAAATAATTAAAATCCTTTTTTTAAATGAAAAAAAAAAAAAATTGTTCCCAAATGCAATAACATAGAATTCCTTTACTGAAGCTAAGGCTATGCCACAAGTTCCCTGCAATACATATTTACAGACAAATGTGTTTATACATCACATGCAGAATGTATTTGTATTTTGTACAGTTTTGTCTTAATTACTCTGATTATGTTGTTTTTTCCTAAAATAAACTTTTTAGAGTTTATTTGAAGAATTAATCAACTAATAAATTAGTTGAAAATTCTTTCAGTAATCGATTCATTCTGATTAATCTATTAGTCATTTCAGCCCATCTTTACATCATGTTTGTTTTGCAGGTTCTCTATTCAAAGTCTTGACGACTGCAGAATTACTGGCCACACATTTATAGTGAAGCTTTAACATTTCCAATTGAAAAAGCAAGAAGTTTACACAGTTCTAATTGTAAATGTCCTTTTCTAAAACACTTCTCAGTATCCATAGCAAAGCCGACAACACCGCAGCGTCTCATTAGTGAAACAGTGATTAATCTAATCTAATTGTGTAAACTGGATGATGCAGAACAGACGCGGTGTGTACACATCACCCCCACTATAAAAGTCCAAGTCCAGAGCAGCACTAATCCAAAAGACCCTCTCAGGTTTCCTCTCGTTAAACAACATTTTCCGTTTCACTAGTGCCTGGATTGAGCCTGGATTTTTAAGTGTTTCTTAATACGTCAAAGCTGAACTTACTAGTTATTTGTCTTACTGGTAAATAGAGCACAGTCAGGAAAAACAAAAGAATAAGTCAAAAGGAGAAACACTTGTCACTGCCAGTTTTATGCAAAGGGCGGCTTCCCACATGCCAGCTTGTAATTATTTTCTGAATTTGAATCAAGCCAGCTGTAAGCGCTCGGGCTTTGGCTGCCTTTGGTTCCTCAACGTAACTCGGCTTGTTGTTTGTCTCCAGGATGCAACTTGAAGATCTTCAACAACCAGGAGTTTGCTGCCCTGCTGGCTCAGTCGGTCAACCAGGGATTCGAGGCCGTCTACCAGCTCACCAGGATGTGCACCATCCGCATGAGCTTTGTCAAAGGCTGGGGAGCCGAATACAGGTGAACCAGAGCTTAACCGGCTGTTAAAATTGTTTCTTGTCCGAAAAGCATTCATGAAAACATCAAAATCACAAGTTCAGTTGTGCAGATTTTGCTAAAAACGGCTAAAACGTCTGAAAAAAGGTCAGTGAAACTCATCTATAATATCTGCATTCTTGCTGAAAATGGAAAAATTACTATTAAGGTAAAAGTTGCCCAAATGTTTTGCATTTTTAAAAATGAATACATGGACCGAAACTGGATTTTTTTCATTTTTATTTTCTCGAGTTAGAAAAGTTGCAGTAAAACAAACTTATTGTGTTAACAGTTTAATCTTCACAGATATAAATATTAAACCGGTTTTAATTACATTTCCCACTTTATTCTAAACAAACCTCATCTTTGTCCCTGGAGTTTTGTTGACAGTTTTATGACGATCGAGTTACTGAAGTGATAAATCATCTCTTATTTATTATCTCAGCTCTGTAAATGCTGCAGAGCGAGGATTAACTCCCTGTTAGAGCCAGCCTGTGTGCGTGTGTGCGTGCGCGCGCGCGCGAGTGTGTGTGAATGGAGACAATAGGAACAGACTGTGAATCACACCCCACAATCCAGCCGCCCCCACTCACACACATCTGCTCACACTCTGGTGAATCCGGTGCATGACATCACTGAGGCCTCGTCAATACAGCCAGGCCCCTTGCTGGCACGCCCGACTATTTTTAAACACACACACACACACACACACACACACACACACACACACACGTGCTATGTCAAAAAGAGATGTCAGACTTTCCCCTCCTTCAGTCCCCTCTCGTTTTTCCACACACTCTGACTCATTGATAGTGGGACGGATTGGTTGGAAATTGGCGCCGACAGAGACGGTTTCCACCAGGGAAAGACCTTGGTGCTGTGAGCGACTGCTCACCACTCCTGTCCTGACCAAACGCTGACATGTGGAGACACTTAAAAACAGGATTCAGGTTACATGATCAAGCAGGCTGCCTTTCTCTCTCTCCCTCCTACACAGTCTCTGTTTTCACTGGTCATTCATTTTGAACCCTTCTGTCTCTTTTTGTTCCAGTTAAATTTTTTTTTGAAGGGGTGGGGGGGGGGACAATTGAAATAAATATTGGAAGGAAATTAGGAAAAAAAACATGCAAAAATAATCCTTTTTAGCATAAAGATTGAAAAAGTATCGAACAGAACAAAGAGCTAAAGAAAAGCAATTCATAAAAACCAGAGCGAAATGCAAACGACAGGAAAAGGGAAATGACACGTGTCAGAGTTGTCACATCTCTGCAGCGTCTTAACAGAGAGGCTTTTGGCAGAGTGAGGAAGAAGGTGTGGTTCTTCCAGCACTAATAGATCAAACTTGTATATAACACACACACACGTTTGCGTGGCTATCTTTGTGGGGACTTTCCATTGACTTCCATTCATTTCTACAGCCTAAACCTTACCTTTACCCTTTTCCTAACCCTAACCATCACATACCTAACCCTAACCAAAACTCAATTCATACGTTAGCCCTAAATCTGACCCCTGACCCAAAAACAGGGTTTCCCCTTGTGGGAACCAGGCTCCCCTCTCCACAAGGAGCAATTGGTCCCCACAAGGTAGTATGTCAGGAAAATCATCCCCACAAGGTAATTACAAACACACACACACACACACACACACACACACAACTGATTATTGCAGGCGATCTTTTCTTTAAGCGTCTTCAATGCTGAAGTTTTCTCCTATCTAACTCCTCTTGTGCCACATTTTGGTTTGTGCTTTAAAACACTGGCTTAGTCTCTCCTCTCACACTAAGAAAATATTTATTACTCCAGCCTTTAAAAATGTGTGTAAATCTACCTGAACTGATGCCTCTTTTTGCTACTTTTTCTTTCTTCAGTCATTCAGAAAAAGATCTAAGCATCTGCACTGAGTTTCTTGTAGAGCATTTCCTGCTTTCAGTGTGACGTCTGTGATTCATAGCTGAAGATCTGCGTAGGCTTTTAAGAAAATCATGTCGAACAACAGAAGCAGAAACAAGAAAGCTGAAGCAAAGTAGCAAAGGAAGTTTTCCGCAACGTTATTGGACGCATCGACTGTTAAGACGTAATCAGTGTACATGGACTGTGGATCTGACTTTGAAGAGCGTTTGTCTGCAGGTCACAGCACATTAACACATTTTTCTATTATGTTAAAAAAAAATATATATATATATATATATATAATTAAATGATCGCAGGCAACCTCCCAACTGTAAGTGCAATAATAACATTTATAGCTCAAAATCTTACTGCTGTAGGCTGGCCCAGCCTATGCAGGGCTATTCCATCATAAACAGGGATTGAATGTTCAATGTGACAACAGATGTTTTAAATATCCATCTGGATCAAAAGGAGGATTCTCAGTTTTCTCAAACAATACATTTAAAAAAACATTCATCCAGATCAGTTATATTTTTTAGTGCTTAGTGTGTCTGTGAAGTAACACAGTAAAAATGTTTTTTATATAAATGCTAGTTCCATGTTTCTTACTTTTTCAGGTTTTAAAATGTGAATTTAAACATTCATTAGTATTTTTTTTTCTCACTAACAGACTAAAAAAATGTGGCCATGTGCTTCTCAACCTGGTTCTAAAATATCAAACATCACTTAAACAACTCTTTTGGGGTATTTTTACAAACAAAACGAAGCTATGAAACCCACAAGCATGCTTAAAATAATCTGTATTTAGTTTTTGACTCACCATTTCCGATTTGACAAAGTTATAGATGTTGAAATGGATCGGAGGTGTGCCACTTCTGTTGCTACAAAGGCAGCATACACGGTCTGGAAACACATTTTTGGTTATTGTGTTATTTCATAATTTGTGGAACCAACAAATAATAAGACTCAGGCACTATTTAAGCAGGTTTAAAATCAGCACTTTGTAAATGTCCAGAAATACATAAAAACAGCAGTAGGAAATGTACAAATTTCTCTGCAGATTTGCAAAGGAAAACCTGAAGGAACTCGTCGTTCGGCCGTGTGTTGGGGGCTCGTCCAGAGCTCCGTTCATGCACTGATCCCAGCTTTGTTACTTTGGGAATATGCAGCCATTCACTGGGGGAATAGATCATGTGTCTCTCTCATCTCTGCGCAGAACTGAATAAAACTCTCTAGATTTTATTTGACTTGCCTCCAAACAGCTGGATCTGCAGGGCTAACGTCTGTCCATCCTCTTCTTCCCTTTGTGTCCCGCAGGCGGCAGACAGTGACCAGCACCCCTTGCTGGATCGAGCTGCACCTGAACGGCCCACTGCAGTGGCTCGACAAGGTGCTCACTCAAATGGGCTCCCCGAACATTCGATGCTCCAGCGTCTCTTAGGGACGTCCTTCGTCCACTCATCTCTCACACGCCACGTCCGCAACTCCCCCCAATCCCAACGTTTCATTCAGTCCCTCCCTTCATTCAGACACTCCTTGTTCCTCCCCCCCACCTCCACACCTGCTGTCAGAAGCACTTTTTTTGAAACACTTTTGTGTTTGTGGCAAAAAGGGGACGAAGTGCATTAAAGTCGTTGATAGGATCTCAACACATTGTCCGAGTTAATTTGATGGTAGTTTTCATCCGCAAGCCAGAAACTTTACATTTGTGTTTGTTTTTTGGTTTTTTTCATTCTTTCTTGCTTGATTGAAATTTGCTGTTCATATTTTTGTACAGATTTTAAATTGAACAGTAGATTTGATAAATAATTTTTATTATTATTATTATTATTATTATTATTATTACTGTTGTGTCCCAAATAGGAAAAAAAAAACATGTAAGATCATGGTAAATACATTTCACTTGACTTTCTTGTTTTGGGGCATTTCTTAGATTATGAAGACTTCTGTAGATGTAAAACAATGAGACAGACTGAACGTGATTTATTTAATACACAAGTTAGCACTGTCTGTAGGAATGTACTGCAAAGAGGGTAGAAATATTTGTTGCGGTTTTATACTTTCATTTTATGCTGCAGGTCTTATTTTGGGTAAAGAAACAAATAGATTTTTGGTGTAAACAGCATCAAAAATAAAATAAAAAAGGAGTCAGCTTTGCTAGTTTGAAGATTTACACCAGCACAGAAAATGTCAGTCAGTCCAGCAACAAATAAGTCAGATTGTGAAGGATTCATGAGGAGAGAATAGGAAGTAAAGCTCTTTAAAACATTACAGGAGTACTAAGAGACAGTGAATCTCACCAAAGGTCACCAGGAGGAAAAATGCACTTGTGTTTGAAAAAAATATAAAAAAATAAAATCAATATTCCAGCATGTAGAATTAGAGATTAGATGTTTAACATGCGTTACTTTCAGGAAGCCTCTCCACGTTGCATAATGTTTGCATCATCTTCGATTGTACATGTAATGCGTACCGAAACGGGACTTGAAAACGACAGACATTGTATTCTTCACACTTTTCAATGACAGAGCTGCACACTCGTAAGTGTGATGTGAATACTCTGCAGAAAGCTTTGATGTGTTCAGAGAGCAGGAAGAGGCCTCTGCTTTGTTGGCGATTTAACTTTTGGTCGTATTTTTAGCCACGCTGACTTTTTGCACATTCAGGACTGGAGAAAAACAGAAACATCTGGATCATAAATAACTGAAAGAGAAGTTAACCAACTTGTGAGAATTTCAATTTATTTTTGCAAATGTTATGTTTTTTTGTTTTTTTTTTAGCCCAAGTCCAAGTTGTGTGTTGGAGGATAGAAAACACTGCAGGCAGGTCTGGGTTGTAGTTTTTTTGTTTTTATAAACATGTTAACATGAGGCAGATTCATTTTTAAGCTTTTTATAAAGGGAAACGTGTAGTTCAACAGCAGCGTGTAAATAACAGTAGTGTCTTAATTTTTTTTTTCATTATTATTATTATAATTTTCAGGTCTCTGTACATATACAATGTTAAGGTGTTTAATTGTGACCATTAACCTTCAAACTTTTGATGGATTTAGAAGCAGGAGAACAAATAATGAAAGAAAAACAACAAAAAAGAAAACTTGGTAAAAGCTGTTGCTAAATTGTAAAAACAGTCACAGCTTTGAACCCATTTTCTTTCACCCACCCACTCAAGTGGAAGTGGATCAATTTCCTTCTGGTTCTATAACACTAGACAAAGACTCAGTGGGCGTGCATGAACAATATGTTGTTTTTTCTGTCTTTATTTACATGAACCTGGCTCTTGATGTTAATGGCACCCCATTGGTGCTAATCTGCAACAGAAGAAAAAGCAGCGACATAGTGCCATTACACATACGCGGGCCGATCCTAAGCGATCATTTTTAATCGTGCAAACTTTCAAAGTGTTGGGTTGTTTCAGAAACAGTAGCATCTACCAGTCTGGAACAAGCCAGCTCTCCGTAGAGCTTCTCGTGTCCTTGAACGCAGCAGCCCTGATTCTGTTGGGATCTTAAAACCCTTGTGGTTGATGTAATTACCCTGTAGGGAAAGTTTTGAAAGCAAATTTGTCCTTTTTTTTTTTTTTTTACACACTCTGAAGGTTATAGCTGTCATGTTTGTTTCTTCCATTTCAAAGTTTCTGTTGTAATCATTAGAGGCAATTTACGGTCCTGAATTGGTCTTTTTAGATTTCTTGTATAAATATTTCCTTTCCATTTTTTGCCCCCGCTAAAAAAAAAAAAACAGTAGATGTGATGCTTTGTATTTTTATGTATTTCTGTTGATCTACAAATAAAATCTCAAACCTGAGCTGAAACTTATTGCGGATGCAGCATATTTTATTTGTGTTTTTAGTTTATTTCTGAACTCAATCTAGAAATGAATTCAATATTAATAATCAGAGCTACCGACTAGATTGTATCACTCTATGTGCTGTGGGTAGATCCTGTTTGCTCATAAGGGCACAATAAGACGTTTACAGCCACTCATTATGGACTTGATGACTCATCAGCCCCACCAGCACCAGACAACAGCCTGGGTACAACAAACAGCGAATTACTTCAGGTCCAGATCGTCCTGTTAAAGATCACACTTGTCAAAAGCTCCAAAAGCAGCGTGTGTCCACCGTGAAGCTAGTTTTGCATCATTTACTGAGTTGCTGACCCCCCAAAAAAGACCCTTACTTCACAACGTACACATAAAAGCACGGTTGAAACCTTCAGCTGCTAACATGGATAAACCAAAAAGTCTAATGGAGAACGGTTTTATGGTCAGATGTAGCAAAGATTGAGCTCTTTGGTCACGATGAGAAGTGTGTTTGGCGGAGTCAAGGTTTTGCTGCCAGAGTTGTACAAAGTGGACAGAATAATGACAAAGAAGAGCCACCTAGAAAGTTCTTCAACTTTCCCTGTAGTCAATGACGACATTTTTGACTCAATCAGCACACATGAACACTGAGTTTGGAATGGATAAAGTTTTATAAAAAAAAAAATATATGTGGATTACGCTTAAAAGTCCAGGCTTTCCAGTTCTTACTTAAATTTTATCTTGTTTGATCCTGCCACCATGGAAACACAAAGGCTTGAAAAATGTAATCAAAGCCAAAAATATAATCTGGGAACTCCTACCTTTAAACACAGTAAGTTAAAGACTGAGTACAATATTTCCTCATCTGTGGTGAATAATTTAGTCTCCAAGAATAAAAAAACCCACTTATTACAAACCCACAGCAGACACTATTGTTTCTTATGTCTGTAGAGCTAGTCAGTTGAATGCATAATAGCTTGTGTCACCAAAAAAAAGACTGACTTGATGTGGAACATGAAGGCTGGCTTTGTTTTGATGCCCTTCAGGTATAGACAGTGAAGTGCACTGCCAGACACGGTTTGAGCCAGTCCACCATAGTCACAGTTTGTCTGCATGAGAAAATCAAATGAGAGAAAATAAATGAATGCATTCCTTTATACAAAAAAAAAACAAAAAAACATCAGACCATGTTGTCTCCATTAGTCACGAACACTGACAAATCCGTTGGTGCCTTTCCACAGCAAAAACAGATGCAGCATTGAGGGCCTACCCCTGCAGCCCATGTCTCACGTTCTTTGAACCGTGTTCAGGTATCATGTTCTTTCCTTTGAAAAGTTTTTATTTTATTATTTTATTGTGACACGCCAACAAGCACCCACTTTGTGTCATCCACACTCACCCAGAAACACTGCAGTTTGACAGAATGTGTTTTTGGTCAATTTCGGTGTTGCTTTCTGACACTGATGATGTGTGGTGCAATCAGAAAGTAATAAGCATGGCTTTTTTTTTACTGTACTTACTAGGACTGGGCAATAAATCAAGAAATATATATCGGGATAGACGCATGATCAATATCACGTCTATGAGCATGTGGGTGAGTATAATGTCTTAATACGAGCTTATGAAAATCTGCCTTTAGGAAAATGCCGAACAATAAATATAAGCATAAAGTGCTTATCATCTTCATCTATCTGTTTTTCCTGCGTTGAGTATTGTATCGACCATTTTGTTGTACTCGTTTGTTACCAATTTTCTTGAACTCAACCGTTGACTTAAAAGGCTTGAGGACTTGCTGCAGGAAGTACCAAACCACATTTCCTGGTGTCAGCGTCAGAATCCAGTCCCATTTCTCAATTTATTAAAACTCGTGAATCTCCGTAGATTCTGGTTCTTTTGATCCATCTTTAAATAATATAAGTCTATCCATGAATTGCTTATTTATGAAATGCACAATAAAGTTGTCTTTATTTTTGATTATTGTATGCAAAGATAAGCCATTAGAGCTCCATGAAATGTTCGGTTTGGATTTCATTTCAATGTAAATCGTGAACTTCCTGTTGTTCTGATGCTTCTGCTGCACAAAGCTGAGCCAAAGCTCTATTTCCTCCTCAGCATTCAGAAACCTGCAGATCATTACCAACTTCAGCTGTAATCTTCAGAGAAACGGGGACTATGATTTTTTGTTTTATCACATTTTTTTTTTTTACTTTTCAATCATTTTTTAATTCGTTTTAGACAAGTGCTGCCTCACACCGTCTGTTTTTAGTTCTCAGGGCTTTTGGCAGCAGGTTTCTCCATAGCAGGCCTGCTGTACGGTTCTTTCTGTCCTCATGCTAGTACTTTCAATAGCTACTAAGGTTAGCTATCGAAGCTAACATTAGCATTGTTGCTAATTTGCAGCGTTAAAAACCCCGATTCGAGTCAGATCAGGACGCTGTATTCCAAAAGACATACACACTTTTGCAAGCCACTTTTACACCTCTTCAAAAATGTTGTAGTTAAAATTTTTATTTTCCGTGCATTAATTTTAAGTTAGAACTAAATCCTAAGGAATATGAAGACTTCTTTTATTGTGCTCTGAATAGCCCTTCCCAGACAGCTTTGCCTTTTTACTTAGCAGCTTTTCAGAAGAAAGTTTGTGTTAAGGGCTGTTAGTGTGCCTATAAATGTATCTGCTCTCTTTTTATTTCTTACCTTTTTTTGCAGCCGCAGCAGCTTTGCCTGCACTTTCAGCCTGCACCACAGTTTCCTGCAGGATTTCTAGCTCGAGCGTCAGACAGTCCTTCAATAATTAACTCCAGTTTGTGGAGGTCAAATGCCGGGCAATTATGAAAGATTGACTCAGACTGTAAGTGTGCAATGCAGAGCTTTTTTAACAGAAACAGACTGACGGTCTTGGCTGTTAATATTTTACATTCCAGTAGCTCTCAATTATAAATGGGTATCAAGTGTTTATTTAAATCACACTAAAGCTGTTTGA